ATCGGTACATGAACTCCTTATCATAAAATTAAATACCGCCCTCTGTTTATAATACCTCACCACCAATGAATGGCGCCCTCTGTTGATTTCTTTTATTATAATTGCACTTGGACTCGATAAATCGATCATTTATCATAACCGCCCTCGGTTTATATTATTTTGATATCCATTAGCGCCCTCTATTGATTTTGTATTATAATTGAACTTGGACTCGATAAAACTATCATTCATACGTTCTCTTTATTTGATATTCATATATTATAATTTATACAGTAAAAAGCCACTCCGAGTGGCTTTTTTGTTGTCATTCAAATTAGCTCATTTAAATAGCTTTTATTACATCTTAATATATACAGTAAAAAGCCACTCCGAGTGGCTTTTTTGTTGTCATTCAAATTAGCTCATTTAAATAGCTTTTATTACATCTTAATATATACAGTAAAAAGCCACTCTGAGTGGCTTTTTTGTTGTCATTCAAATTAGCTCATTTAAATAGCTTTTCATACATCCTAATATATACAGTAAAAAGCCACTCCGAGTGGCTTTTTCGTTGTCATTCAAATTAGCTCATTTAAATAGCTTTTCATACATCCTAATATATACAGTAAAAAGCCACTCGGAGTGGCTTTTTCGTTGTCATTCAAATTAACTCATTTAAATAGCTTTTATGACATCTTAATATATACAGTAAAAAGCCACTCCGAGTGGCTTTTTCGTTGTTATTCAAATTAGCTCATTTAAATAGCTTTTCTGGCATCTTAATATATACAGTAAAAAGCCACTCCGAGTGGCTTTTTTGTTGTCATTCAAATTAGCTCATTTAAATAGCTTTTCATACATCTTAATATATACAGTAAAAAGCCACTCCGAGTGGCTTTTTCTTAGTCATTCAAATTAACTCATTTAAATAGCTTTTATGACATCTTAATATATACAGTAAAAAGCCACTCCGAGTGGCTTTTTCGTTGTTATTCAAATTAGCTCATTTAAATAGCTTTTCTGGCATCTTAATATATACAGTAAAAAGCCACTCCGAGTGGCTTTTTTGTTGTCATTCAAATTAGCTCATTTAAATAGCTTTTCATACATCTTAATATATACAGTAAAAAGCCACTCCGAGTGGCTTTTTCTTAGTCATTCAAATTAACTCATTTAAATAGCTTTTATGACATCTTAATATATACAGTAAAAAGCCACTCCGAGTGGCTTTTTCGTTGTTATTCAAATTAGCTCATTTAAATAGCTTTTCTGGCATCTTAATATATACAGTAAAAAGCCACTCCGAGTGGCTTTTTCGTTGTCATTCAAAGTAGCTCATTTAAATAGCTTTTCTGGCATCTTAATATATACAGTAAAAAGCCACTCCGAGTGGCTCTTTCTTTGTTATTCAAATTAGCTCATTTAAATAGCTTTTTGGTTTGTCATATATCAAAAGGTTTTTGCATTCTTTAACTGCTGAGTCAAATCTCCTATTTTGACCACGATCCATTCACCCACCGTGTTGACCATGCTGTTTGCCAATGTGACGAAATCTTGCCCGTATGTAACATCTACAACACTAGATGGACAGTTCATCTGAAAAAAAAAGGAGAAATAGGCCTTAATAAGTAAATTTTGTTACACACAAACATACAGTAATAATAATTTGGGGCCTAATCATCCTTACTCGTATCTGGCATGTTAAATTGCAAAAGACGCAACTACAACGTGTTCGGGGCCGCTGACAAGTAAAGACGCCTATGGTTTTCGCCTTTTACACACAAATCACCCCGACATATTGGACACCTGATGTATAAAAAATACACGTTATAAGCGTATTATAATTACCTTTGAAAGTTGGTCTGTTGGTAGTTTAGCTGCTCGTATTCGGAAATGAAGCTATACAGTTGTACAGTGCTGTCGAGTCTGGATATGATTAGATACCACTGAACTCCGCCTTATAAATCCGACTGGCCATCCGCTGTGAGGGTATCTGGCTTATATAGGAACTAAAAATAGCAACCATTGTTTGCTTCTGACGTTGCGATGAGTCATATCCTGGCTGCCCCAACTAACAAAAGCAATTCATCACGGTCCATTGAATTTCAATAGATGTTTACGCCAACTGCAAAAGTGTGTCACCGTGACCCTGAGTCACTTCATATTTTGCAAGTCAGGGTTGGAGTAGACTTGTACGAGTCGTATTTAACACAAGATCAAAAATGAAAAATATAAATATAGAGGGCCTGGCCTTATTTCGAGACTGAGATATTGAGAGAGATATATTTGGGAGGGAGATCATTGCATGGGAGAGGGAGATTATTGGGAGGGGGAGGGAAATCATTGGGAGAGATCAAGGGGCGGGGCGTGGCCAGTGGGTGGGGGAAAGGGAGAGGGGTAAAGTCTGGTACCTGCCCCTCTCCCCATTGGCCCTGTACTACCCCCAGACCTATGGCAAAGTCTGGTATCCGCCCTTCTCCCCTACTAATATCACCACTCTTAGTCCAGCGGATATTGTGACAAAATGATTAAATGTGGACTTATTCTATTCATATTGCATGAAACTTTACGCAGACGTATATTCATGAGATAATTTGTCCCTGAAAGCGGCATAGCAGTCACTTTTTTTTTTAAATGGGGTGGGGGGGGGGTTGACTCTTTTTGCCCACCGTGAAAAAAAAAATGTGCCTACCCTTTCTAAATGAATTAAACTTCATGCAGACTCATGTTCATGAGAACACAAAAAAATCAGGTATGAAACCATGATCATTAACCCACCCTTTTAGAGGCGTGGTATGTCTTTTAAAAGTGGGGGCGGGGCACTCATTAGGCCACCGTGGAAACCTAAAAAATTGTTCCACAAGGAAAAACTTGTAAAAGTGATCAAAGGACTGGTTTCAGTTTATTCCACTGATTTTTAAAAAGTCTCCACTGGGATTCTCAGTGGAGACATTATGTGTGAGTGTGCAACTAAACTTGACCTACCTGATGGGGGCGCTCTTCATGAAATTTACACTGTGAACTTTCAACCAATCAGAATGCTTGTTTCATTCCTGGAAAGTCTCCACAAGGAAACATTGTGCATGGCCGGCAGTGTGTAAGGCCATGTGCATGATGTGCCATCTTTTTTCCAGCATGTCCAGTGCATTGTAGGTAAGTTTTATAAACCTTGGCAAAGAAATTAACACATTTGGGTTTGATGAGGTACCTTGTGTGCTAAAACCTTTAGCAAAATGCCAGGCATGTGCTACTTTGTTACAAAAGAGTTCTGGGTGATGAATAATATAGTTCAGCTTTGTAATGAATTTAACATTTGTCTCCAGTACGGATTTTATATAACTGATCACTGGGCTCTTTTGTATGATGATTTGGAGATTTCTTTTCTTACTTTTAATATCGTCCGGAAACATCTGCCATGTATCATATACCGAGTAAGTAGAATGGTCAACCTACATTGTACAACAGGGAAGAAGGGGTGTGTTACTTATAGGCCTTAACCTAAAGTTAGTTAGCCAATTTGGCTCCTTGATTCCTTGACCATGTTGACCTTGGCATTAGGCATGAATGATAAACCTGAGATAAACAGCAGAATCTGCAGATTCTGGCCTTAAAATTATATGAAAATTGAGAACTTCAGAATAGGCCCACCTTTGTTTATTTCTACAAAGATGTATGCAGATTGGAAAGTAAACTATGTCGGTAAAGCATAATAATTTTAAATCTTAATGAGTGAAAAAAACTTGCACTCTCCCTGGGTATTTCATTGTGTAGGCCTACTGCAGTGAAAGTGGCGTAAACTTTTTTCTTTTTTTGGTTTTACACGTAAATAAAATCCAAAGTTGGCCATACTGACATGAAGTATGGTTAGTCCAAATAAAAAAAAACATGTTTAGCGTCCCCGCCCACTTCCCTTTTGGAGGCCTCGTCCTTTTTTTTCTTTTCTTTTTTTCTTAAAAAAACCCCCCAAATTATAAATTTTAAACAGTGACATCATTCTGGCCTCTTTATCTGTTGCATCTAGCCCATTCAAAGCCGGTAATGTCAGGACTGAGTCCAAGTGGTGGCCATTTAAAAAAAAAAAAAGTGGAACCCATCTTGAAAAATAGCCCGGTTGGTCGGCCATTTTGGAAGGGGGAAAAAAAAAAAAGGTCCTCCGCGTTCATTTTTTTCAAAAAGCAGGATGCTAAACATGATTTATTTACTTGGTCTCATAACTGTTAGCCAAGATAAACCTGCATGGATCAGGGTGAAGCATCATACATTATATTCAATTACAACCTTGAATTGTGTAGAAGGTTGCAGTAGGCCTACCTAAACGTACTTTAATACAAACATTTAATGACGTACAGAATCCTCATTTATAGGCCTATATTCCCTAGTGTGAACATGCTTAAAATACGGTGTGGGTAAAAAACTGTTCAATAATACTCCCATTGTTTATTTTGAGAAGTACACAATATGTGTACGACTCTATTTGTTAGGTCTACCTAATAACAAAGATTGTTCCTACAAAGTACAAAACAGGTAAGTGTAGATCATTTAACCTGTGTAAAAATAAATAAATAAAATGTAGTGCATCTTTGGACCTTGGGCATAATTGATACATGTACTGCGGATATCTTGTACAAACCTTGTTGGCTTATTATAATTGTTTTTTTTTCAGATACATGTAGATTGAAATATGCCAAAACGAAAAGAAGCTACCGGTACCCAATATAAGGCGAGTTGTCTGTATTTTACTTTTAATCTGTCTAATTGTATTTTGTAAAATAAATCAACATAATACAATTACTTCATTCAATAATACAAGTTTTGTGCAAATCTGTATAAACTAAATTGTTTTGTACACGTACATGTACTATGTATTTGTAATTAATGCATTTTTCTTTACAATTAATTTCCCCGCATCCGGCTGAGCCATGACCCCGGCTGCGGCACAACCCCACTTAAAATAGAAATGAATTATTGTTGGACTTTTTTGTGATATAATTTTTTTCTCTTTATTATAATTTCTAATAGGCCCCTATCAGACGATCCAAAAGAACCAGAGAATGCACAAAGGTAAAAAAATACAGTTTTCTGTTTTGTTTTATTACAACATATATATGTATGTCAGTCAATTTCTACCACAGACATATTTTCTCTTTTTTTTTAAGTCTCAAGTTATAATTGTAAATTTATAAATTCTCAGTTACAGTTAAATGACCCTTGGGTTACATTTTCCAAGGATTCTAATTGCGTCCAATGTTCAACGTGTTCACAAGTATACTTTCCTATTACAATATATTTTAAATTGAGAACGGGTATATTTGTCGAGCACAATTTGAGTCCCCCGCGCAAGTTTAAACTTGCGCATGCAAGTTTAAACTTGCGCGAGGGACTCCCGAAGCACACAAATTACACTGCGCCATTTTAATTTGCGTGCGCACGTTAGTTGCGCAAAGGTGATCGCAATTTGTGAACCTTGCGGGCGGGATTTTCATCGATAAAGAAAAAAAAGTTCAAAACACGAGTATACCCCCTCTTACCCTACATGGAAAAAATACAGTTTTTCTGTTTTGTTTTATTGCAACATATATGTATGTCAGTCAATTTCTACCACAGACATATTTTCTTCTTTTTTTAAGTCTCAAGTTATAATTGTAAATTTATAAATTCTCAGTTACAGTTAAATGACCCTTGGGTTGCATTTTCCAAGGATTCTAATTGCGTCTAATGTTCAACTTGTTCACAAGTATACTTTCACATTACAATATATTTTAAATTGAGCACCGGTATATTTGTCGAGCGCAATTTGAGTCCCCCGCGCTATTTTAAACTTGCGCATGCACTTGCATGTAGTGTTCACTTTAAAAATTCAATCCATCTAATTTCATTATGTTCTACAAACACGCACATGAACTCAAAATGTCTGCGCCCAGGATGGCTTCAAAGCGTCTATCCGCGCAGAATGAGGAGTTAGCACTCTAGTAATTTATTATAGCTCTATGGAGACGACATTCTAGCCAGTCTCCCACGAATTACCCCTGCAGAATGTCATTTTGCTGTTTGATTACAATAATTGTGTCATACATTTAGAAATTGGTAGGTAAAAATTGGATATACGGTATATAATATTTATTTAGTGTCAGCAGTATATTTTTTTGAACCCCCTCTCCCTCCTCTGAATCCGCACCTGGCACTACCCACCATTTAAAATGGTGTCGCATTAAACAAATAAACAAGACAACCGCTATGGAGGGCATTGCTTGTTACAATAATAATAATGTAAAAAACAAAAAACTCACACCCTACAGAAAAAAAAACATTGCTCATTTGATCGCAAAATAATGTTTTTAATATTAAAAATTATATAATATTTTTGTTTACTTTATTTTAGACACCAGAAGAAGATGCACAACAGTTTTTGTTGAAAGACAGGGAAGGGTTGAAATCAGTGCTGATCAACAAAGAGAAAGGTACGTGATGCATGAAAACTGGCTCAAGTACTTAATGACTAAAGCCCCAGCTTTGCACAGAATTTGCACAGAATTGATTTTAGAGGTCATGTGTTGTCCTTTAAGGAGTAAGAATATTAACACTTTTGTACAGGTTATTTTACAGATCTTTATAAATTATTGGAGATAAAATTAATCTTTTTAAGGTGTCATAGTATCTGCAATTTTTTAATCAAAGAGTGTAGAGAGTAAATGCTATTTGTTAAATTAAATGCTACTTGACAATATTGATAAGATAAATGTTATTTGTTAAGTTAGTGACTGGTTATCAGGAAAAGTTCAAATTAAAGGGAGTGATTAACAGCGTAAAACATTTTCCCTGCAAAGAGCATGTAGTGTATATGCTCAAAATGACCGTACCTGTGTTCATTGCCTGGCCCAGGGAGGGGTCTGTATTTGAAACCAGTGAAGTATTACATGAATGCTCTAACCAATGGTTCTGTTCTAATTTTGAAACAAAACTTTGTGAATGAGTACATGAATTATGGCTTCGTTTAACAGGAAGAGGTGTCATTGCTACGACCAGCTTCCATAAGGGTGACTGTCTGCTCCGGTATGTAGGAGAATTGATTGATAATGCAACTGCCGTCGCACGAACAGTCAATATTCAGCGGAACATGGCTCTTTCATGTATGATTTTATTCACGATGGAAAGAAGATGTGGTAAGTAAATGTTTTTATGCTTTCCCCTGCATTCTTTTCTAGTCAGAAAAAGGCCATTGATTGGTGATGAATGCCCTATGGAGTAAGTCCATGCATGTTCGGAAAATAATCAAATTCAAAAAATGTGTAACCCATGATTGGTGATGAATGCCCTATGGAGTCAGTCCATGCATGTTTGGAAAATAATCAAATTCAGAAAATGTGTAACTCATGATTGGTGATGAATGCTCTATTGATTCAGTCCATGCATGTTTGGAAAACAATCAAATTCAGAAAATGTGTAACCCATGATTGGTGATGAATGCCCTATGGAGTCAGTCCATGCATGTTTGGGAAATAATCAAATTCAGAAATTGTGTAACTCATGATTGGTGATGAATGCCCTATGGAATCAGTCTATTCTTGTTTCAGAAATAATTAAATTCAGAAAATGTGTAACCCTAATGATTGGTGATGAATACCCTATGGACTCAGTTCATGCATTTTTGGAAAATTATCAAATTCAGAAAATGTGTAACTCATGATTGGTGATGAATGCCCTAAGGAGTAAGTCCGTGAATTTTTGGAAAATAATCAAATTCAGAAAATGTGTAACCCATGATTGGTGATGAATGCCCTATGGAGTCAGTCCATGCATGTTTGGGAAATAATCAAATTCAGAAAATGTGTAACCCATGATTGGTGATGAATGCCCTATGGAGTCAGTCCATGCATGTTTGGAAAATAATCAAATTCAGAAAATGTGTCACCCATGATTGGTGATGAAGGCCCTATGGAGTCAGTTTATGCATGTTTGGGAAATAATCAAATTCAGAAAATGTGTCACCCATGATTGGTGATGAATGCCCTATAGAGTCAGTCCATGGATGTTTGGGAAATAATCCAATTCAGAAAATGTGTAACTCATGATTGGTGATGAATGCCCTATGGAGTCAGACCATGCATGTTTGAAAAATAATCAAATTCAGAAAATGTGTAACTCATGATTGGTGATGAATGCCCTATGGAATCAGTCTATTCTTTTTTGAGAAATAATCAAATTCAAAAAATGTGTAACCCTAATGATTGGTGATGAATGTCCTATGGAGTCAGTCCATGCATGTTTGGGAAATAATCAAATTCAGAAAACGTGTAACTCATGATTGGTGATGAATGCCCTATGGAATCAGTCTATTCTTGTTTGAGAAATAATCAAATTCAGAAAATGTGTAACCCTAATGATTAGTGATGAATGCCCTATGGACTCAGTTCATGCATTTTTGGAAAATAATCAAATTCAGAAAATGTGAAACCCATGATTGGTGATGAATGCCCTATGGAGTCAGTCCATGCATATTTGGGAAATAATCAAATTCAGAAAATGTGTAACCCATGATTGGTGATGAATGCCCTATGGAGTCAGTCCATGCATGTTTGGAAAATAATCAAATTCAGAAAATGTGTAACCCATGATTTGTGATGAATGCCCTATGGAGTCAGTCCATGCATGTTTGGGAAATTATCAAATTTAGAAAATGTGTCACCCATAATTGGTGATGAAGGCCCTATGGAGTCAGTTTATGCATGTTTGGGAAATAATCAAATTCAGAAAATGTGTAACCCATGATTGGTGATGAATGCCCTATGGAGTCAGACCATGCATGTTTGAAAAATAATCAAATTCAGAAAATGTGTAACTCATGATTGGTGATGAATGCCCTATGGAATCAGTCTATTCTTGTTTGAGAAATAATCAAATTCAGAAAATGTGTAACCCTAATGATTGGTGATGAATGCCCTATGGAGTCAGTCCATGCATGTTTGGGAAATAATCAAATTCAGAAAATGTGTAACTCATGATTGGTGATGAATGCCCTATGGAATCAGTCTATTCTTGTTTGAGAAATAATCAAATTCAGAAAATGTGTAACCCTAATGATTGGTGATGAATGCCCTATGGACTCAGTTCATGCATTTTTGGAAAATAATCAAATTCACAAAATGTGTAACCCTAATGATTGGTGATGAATGCCCAATGGACTGAGTTCATGCATTTTTGGAAAATAATCAAATTCAGAAAATGTGAAACCCATGATTGGTGATGAATGCCCTAGGGAGTCAGTACATGCATATTTGGGAAATAATCAAATTCAGAAAATGTGTCACCCATGATTGGTGATGAAGGCCCTATGGAGTCAGTTTATGCATGTTTTGGAAATAATCAAATTCAGAAAATGTGTAACCCATGATTGGTGATGAATGCCCTATGGAGTCAGTCCATGCATGTTTGGAAAATAATCAAATTCAGAAAATGTGTCACCCATGATTGGTGATGAAGGCCCTATGGAGTCAGTTTATGCATGTTTTGGAAATAATCAAATTCAGAAAATGTGTAACCCATGATTGGTGATGAATGCCCTATGGAATCAGTCTATTCTTGTTTGAGAAATAATCAAATTCAGAAAATGTGTAACCCCAATGATTGGTAATGAATGCCCTATGGACTCAGTTCATGCATTTTGGGAAAATAATCAATTCCAGAAAATGTGTAACCCATGATTGGTGATGAATGCCCTATGGAGTCAGTCCATGCATGTTTGGAAAATAATCAAATTCAGAAAATGTGTAACTCATGATTGGTGATGAATGCGCTATGGAGTCAGTCCATGCATGTTTGGAAAATAATCAAATTCAGAAAATGTGTAACCCATGATTGGTGATGAATGCCCTAAGGAGTAAGTCCATGAATGTTTGGAAAATAATCCAATTCAGAAAATGTGTAACTCATGATTGGTGATGAATGCTCTATGGATTCAGTCCATGCATGTTTGGAAAACAATCAAATTCAGAAAATGTGTAACCCATGATTGGTGATGAATGCCCTATGGAGTCAGTCCATGCATGTTTGGGAAATAATCAAATTCAGAAAATGTGTAACCCATGATTGGTGATGAATGCCCTATGGAGTCAGTCCATGCATGTTTGGGAAATAATCAAATTCAGAAAATGTGTAACCCATGATTGGTGATGAATGCCCTATGGAGTCAGTCCATGCATGTTTGGAAAATAATCAAATTCAGAAAATGTGTAACCCATGATTTGTGATGAATGCCCTATGGAGTCAGTCCATGCATGTTTGGGAAATTATCAAATTTAGAAAATGTGTCACCCATGATTGGTGATGAAGGCCCTATGGAGTCAGTTTATGCATGTTTGGGAAATAATCAAATTCAGAAAATGTGTAACCCATGATTGGTGATCAATGCCCTATGGAGTCAGACCATGCATGTTTGGGAAAAAATCAAATTCAGAAAACGTGTAACTCATGATTGGTGATGAATGCCCTATGGAATCAGTCTATTCTTGTTTGAGAAATAATCAAATTCAGAAAATGTGTAACCCTAATGATTGGTGATGAATGCCCTATGGACTAAGTTCATGCATTTTTGGAAAATAATCAAATTCAGAAAATGTTAAACCCATGATTGGTGATGAATGCCCTATGGAGTCAGTCCATGCATATTTGGGAAATAATCAAATTCAGAAAATGTGTAACCCATGATTGGTGATGAATGCCCCATGGAATCAGTTCATGCATTTTTGGAAAATAATCAAATTCAGAAAATGTGTAACCCTAATGATTGGTGATGAATGCCCGATGGACTCAGTTCATGCATTTTTGGAAAATAATCAAATTCAGAAAATGTGAAACCCATGATTGGTGATGAATGCCCTATGGAGTCAGTCCATGCATATTTAGGAAATAATCAAATTCAGAAAATGTGTAACCCATGATTGGTGATGAATGCCCTAAGGAGTAAGTCCATGAATGTTTGGAAAATAATCCAATTCAGAAAATGTGTAACTCATGATTGATGATGAATGCTCTATGGATTCAGTCCATGCATGTTTGGAAAACAATCAAATTCAGAAAATGTGTAACCCATGATTGGTGATGAATGCCCTATGGACTCAGTTCATGCATTTTTGGAAAATAATCAAATTCAGAAAATGTGAAACCCATGATTGGTGATGAATGCCCTATGGAGTCAGTCCATGCATATTTGGGAAATAATCAAATTCAGAAAATGTGTAACCCATGATTGGTGATGAATGCCCTAAGGAGTAAGTCCATGAATGTTTGGAAAATAATCAAATTCAGAAAATGTGTAACTCGTGATTGGTGATGAATGCTCTATGGATTCAGTCCATGCATGTTTGGAAAACAATCAAATTCAGAAAATGTGTAACCCATGATTGGTGATGAATGCCCTATGGAGTCAGTCCATGCATGTTTGGGAAATAATCAAATTCAGAAAATGTGTAACCCATGATTGGTGATGAATGCCCTATGGAGTCAGTCCATGGATGTTTGGGAAATAATCCAATTCAGAAAATGTGTAACTCATGATTGGTGATGAATGCCCCATGGAATCAGTCTATTCTTGTTTGAGAAATAATCAAATTCAGAAAATGTGTAACCCTAATGATTGGTGATGATACCCTACGGACTCAGTTCATGCATTTTTGGAAAATAATCAAATTCAGAAAATGTGAAACCCATGATTGGTGATGAATGCCCTATGGAGTCAGTCCATGCATATTTGGAAAATAATCAAATTCAGAAAATGTGTAACTCATGATTGGTGATGAATGCCTTAAGGAGTAAGTCCATGAATGTGTGGAAAATAATCAAATTCAGAAAATGTGTAACTCAAGATTGGTGTTGAATGCTCTATGGATTCAGTCCATGCATGTTTGGAAAACAATCAAATTCAGAAAATGTGTAACCCATGATTGGTGATGAATGCCCTATGGAGTCAGTCCATGCATGTTTGGGAAATAATCAAATTCAGAAAATGTGTAACCCATGATTGGTGATGAATGCCCTATGGAGTCAGTCCATGCATGTTTGGGAAATATTCAAATTCAGAAAATGTGTAACCCATGATTGGTGATGAATGCCCTATGGAGTCAGTCCATGCATGTTTGGAAAATAATCAAATTCAGAAA